AATTATATTCCCGCTCTTACTTCAAGAGAAATATAAATCTTTGATTTACTCCTGATTACAACCACACGATTAAGGCAAATATATTTTAATCTCAAAACACTAAAATTTCCATGATCGCATTTTTAAATTTGAGATATGATAAATCGTAATACATGCATATGTAGTAATAATCAGCGTAAGTCTATCACTTAATAGCAACTTAGGTGACATGAAGACCATTGCTAAGGAAACCTTAATTGAAATAGAAAACAGAATTCAGGTAAACGTTTTATATTAAAATAGTGATGTACTTGGTTGAAAACTTTATTTCAGTGGTCTGAAGCAAAAATAACTTTAACATTTTTAGAAGAATTAATTACAATATAAGCAAGAATAGAAATTATGTTATGTTATAAGCAAGAATAAAAATTTAATAATGATGAGGAAATTTAGTTTTTGTTGTGTACGAATATGATCTATTGAATAGCAAAAGTCTGCTTTCCTACAGTGAACACTCACTGAACAGCCAAGAAGTAAATGTTGACATTAGCTTAGCATAATTTTCTCCTAGTCCCATAGGATACATCTACTAGATAAATGTTTCAATACCTATAATAATTCTGCATCCATTTGATTAAAGAATCGATAAAATTTCTTAATGTGCGATATTTGCTGTTTGAGACGCCGTCAATATTGCGCTGCTGTGGACATTCCTGCGCTGTTGACCACCCTGGCGTTGCGCTGGGGCGAGCGTTGGCGCAGGCAAGTTCACCCGCGGCTGGCTTCCAGACTGCGGCGATTTCTGACTGGGGGTGTAGGTGACGGTAGCGCCTGGTGCGTTGGTAGTCACTGCACTGCGAGTCATATTCGTGCCGGGGGACGACAACGACGTCGTGCTGCACGCTGAGCATTTAAAGTGTCGTGAGACAATTTGTGTAGACATTTGAACTGGGATTTAATTGCGAAAATACTTTCGAACGTAAATTAAAATTTGACGCAAGAATGTTTGCTGCACGAACCATACATGTCGGCTTTACGAATACACGAAACACCATATACATGTACATACGCGTCGGTCAGTGAAATAGATATGTTTTTGCACTACGAATTGCAGTGTGATTTGTAAAATCCTAATCATGCATAAATCCTAGTTTAATGAGTGTGGGAAGGATAAATATGTCGAAAATTTCATCAAGATGTTTGAATAATAATTTAATAGAGTAAGTCCGCATAAAGAGCTCATTCTTCTGACCGATGACCAACTACAATCATTTATTAGTCCTCACTATGAATCCGCTCGTCAAACTTCGAAAATACATAATCATCGATATTTTTTAAGTTGGGTTCAGTTCGGAAAAAGTTTAGAAAAACTTAGCATCTATCGTGTGCAATGATTTCGTGAACCGCTTCATTTCCATAACATCTCCAGTTTCACCTTGGTTTCAACTGAGACCTGTAGATGCCACAGATTACCATACATATTCAGAAGACCATTTCTCTGTTACCTGTAACACAAGGCTTCAGCAGGGCAGTGTCCCATCCGCTGTCTGTGCAGTGGATAGTTTGGTAGCGCTTGTCGAGCGCCCACTCGTAGCCAGATTTGCATACAACGTCCAGTGAATCATTTAATGAATACCAGTTTTGGTTCGGTTGAAATGTTGGCGAGAGGGTAGCATTACTTATGCTCATAGTTTCCCAGTTACAACCTGAAAAAAGACATACCAATTAATATCGGAACGTCCGGCCCATGTGACATTTTATGTGTGGCTCATTCGTTCAGAGCCTCTTGCCCTCACTGACTATATACAGGCTTAGCAGCCCCCAAAATCGTAAGTGCGTGTCATTAGGAAAGTTTAACTTACTCCCTTCCGTGCTTCCGTCTATTGTTTATGTGTTTGCACGTTCTCCATGTATGTACTTATATTTTTGCTTCCTATCCTCCATCCATTCCCAGTCCCCCTCCTTACGCATCGAACTTGACGGGCTTGTCTGAGAGAGCGAAGGGTACCTTATATAATCCTCCCTCATTAGGACCCGTCTGTATCCTTGCAGATTTGAAACGTCCGACAAACTATGTTTGGAAACTGTTCCTCTAATTACATAGGCAGAAAATTATACTTTCTATAAGCCATAACAAATGTATCCATAAGTCCTTTCAAAATGTATCCATAAGTCAACCCTCATCACCACAATAAAATAAAATGACCAGACAGAGTCACTCACAACAATAAAGCATTCTACAAGATAGCCTTACAACCAGGACCCATCATACTTTCCGACCACGTTCTCATATTGGCAACTATTTCTGCAAATCCCACAATAAATACCCGTTTGTCCTTAATTACAGATCATTTAACAGATCAAGCTAGGGTTTATACAGACCAACATATCATAGCACCTTATACCACACGACCAGACCCTACCCTAGAAGAAATCAATATAAACTTAAACAACTGGACAAAAAACCTCATAATGCAACCTCATCATAGAACATCGCATCATTAAAAGCATCAAACCCACTCACTAAACATTAATCAGGCCACACTTTCAATACATTCACTCTCAAGGTACATTGTAGCCGGGTTACCTATATGTATAGTACTTTAGTCGCAAAATAAATCCTCAGTAATCCATTTATTCAAAGTCATGTCTCAATAATCTGTCCATTTATGGTAAAATATTTATTCCAAACTATGTTAGGGTAAGTAAAACGACCTCGTAGATCTTCTGTTGACAGTCAGTTTTATCATGAACGACAGCAATAGCTTAGGTAAGTTGGTTATCATGTTAATTGTCCAAAGTGAAAACCATTGTTCAATCATCTTTGTTGTTTATTTATTGACTTTTTTATTGTTGCATTATTATTCAGTTATTATACTTCCTAGTTACTTATCCTGTTATTCATCTTTGTTACAGTCATCCTGTCTGCCCATGCTCCTTTATTCCCTGGTTTTCATTAAATTTGTAAATCGGATCACCAACATACATCTATATTTCCTTGTTATCTTATATATGGCCTCTGCGCTAATAGCCTACTAAAGGTAGTTGCGTGAGACAAAAGCAGGTCACCTAGGGTTGACCTCACCCGCAATTGCGCCGGCAACAACATCACTAGCAATTATTAGCCAACTCTTATCTCATGATGGCAACAACTACACACAGCCTACATACACTTCCAAATACAGAAATGCTAGGACCTCAGCAACACTCTGGAAACACAAACATTTCACAAAAATTCTGTTTTTCCTTAAAACTTATATTATATTCCAACATCAATGAACTCAATCATAACAATATCTACACTATACACCAGTACAAAGAGTACTCATCGTCCGAAAACACTGACACATTGACACAGAGCGACTATTACCTCGAAACCGAACACATCCGCACCATAGAGGAACACTTAAAAAACATGATCCGACACTTGCTAATCATATTTAATCACGCCATTTCCACTGGTTATTTCCCCGACTGACTAAAATACGCCACAATAAATTTCCTCGTAAAACCTCATAACATAAAGTCCAAAACTACAGGCCGGCCCATTTCACTACTAGACATCCAAGGGAAGCTCTTAACAAAATACTAAATAACAGAATATACGAACACCTCACCATTCAAAACACACAAACACTAGATAGCGCAGTTTTAGGAAGCACAGCTAGAATGACACACGTGCGAAACGTTCTACGAAGCACTCGTCATACACCGAGCACAAGAAACAACACACAACAGACGTACTACCGCTCGATGCGACCAATGCCTTGGACAAGGTTTGGCACACTGGATTACAATAGAAAATAATGCAACTGAAAATAATATAACTTTTACAAAATTCGCTCGAAATACGCAGATTACATTACCTCCTTTCCAATACTAAAAGCACCCTGTACCTCTCTAAAGGCTGATAATTTCTCATCTACATCCAATATCGCCCTCTCTTCCATAACACTCTATGTCAAAACTGCAAAAACTCCAAAACAAAACATTACGATTCGTCACAAACACAATAGTGCGATATCACAAACAGTTTACGAAAAGTGCGAGACACAAATCGTAAATACTGTACTTCACAAACTCACATTCCCACTAGATGCCATAGCACAACTCAAACTGTTTCAAAGTTTCCAACTACTAGCACCAGGTCCCCCACCTCCGCCTCTCTTCGCTTTACCAACCCAACACACACTAAGTGACTCCCTACTCGACGGAATATGCTGCACTTGGAGGGCAGATGTAAAGATCACTTCCAGGTGCAGTTGGTCCCGATTACGAATACGGACTGATGAAACTTACCGAAAATTACACAAATTATAAACAAAATTGAAGACATAACAACTGACTACCAAACCTACCTCCTGAGTCTTAAGCGACGCACTCGCCAGGTTTATTATCATTGCCATCATCACCTTCACCTTTCATCTTATAATTTTTTGCGGAAAAAGATACACAAAGTAATAAAACACTACAAGTAGAAAAAACGGATCGCATGTAATTAGGGAGAGGATGCATTATCTTTATTTTGTACTGGTAGTATACTAATATGTAATCATGTTAAATAATCGACCATCACCATACCTTCACTCCCCCGTGAAAACACCTAATGCCCTGATGGGTTTACTCCCCCAACCCTATCCATCCCCAATCCATCCAAATATAAGAACGACCTACCTAAACCTAACTATGCGCAATGAGCCTATCTTCGTCATTTTCCGTTTATTCTCACTCTTTCTAGCTACGCTGTGCCACTTCATGTTTTTTCCCATTCTCTCCTAGCGCCACCGCAACAACATCGAAATGTCCTCGTCTCCTCGAAAAGTTCGGAGCTAGGCACAAGCAGGTTGGCAGGCTGGGCAACAACAATTCAATGCAGTAATTCAATTTAATACATTATGTGTGTTAACTGTAAAGCTAATACATTGTTATCTTTCACTTTCGCGCAGTTTGCCCTACAAAGTTAATTTGGCTTTAACTAATCAAATGCCAACCAATAAGACATAATCGTTTTCTGGCTTACTTCAGGTGGTCATTACTTCAACGTTGGCCGTCACGGCTGTGTACCCAAATTTTATGATGATTAAGTGAGTCAATAACCTCGAACGAACGGATGTGCAGCCGTAGGCCACAAATTTTACTCTTAAATAAGCCCTGAAGCCAACGCCCAGCTTCACCCTGCATTTACTTTATTCAGCCTCAAAGCAAGAAGCCGCAGACTACGCTTGAACTCGGTAATCCAGACAAGCGACACACAGCCGAAAGATAATTGCGCCGTATGTCTTCAGCTAATGCTTAACCATGCTCGCTCATAAGCAGGCAGTACCTCATCCAGCTGTACCTACTCCGGCCTTACCTCTTCTGGCCTAATACGAAATTTGTTTGGCAAAGTTACGTGTTATGCCCCATAACAATGATGCCGCATCAAATCCATATAGTTTTACTTTTTGTATGTCAGTACTCTATTTTGTCACGTTTAGACTTTGGTTGACGCTTCGTAATTTCTTTAACATATATAATTGACCTCTACCTGCAATCAATTGTGTATTACGGTCCCTTTCTGCTTTTCAACTTAGCCTTAAAGTTTATGATTCATGTTGAATATATACGTCAATGAATTTGATCTTATGAAATAAATGATAATTGGCATTTACCACTTCAACCAGTGGAAACACTTTTACTGTTTTCAAATTTTGAATAGTTATTCAGTGCATTCTATTAGTTCCAACCTAGTGTGGTCCTAGTACTAGTAACTTATGCTTACACTGTATAGTTGGTTCCATATATTCAATGGAAAACTAGTTCGCCAATGCTCCCGAATACTTAAGTGGTTCAGTCGTATAGGCGTAAAGAACACATTACATTGAAAAAGAACAATTATGCAATTCTAACAAACTGCGATATGTGAGTAATAATTAAGGCAAGCCCAATTGCGGGTAGGAATTTCAAGTGATAAATCTCATTTCCTCAACATAGTTAAAAAAATGTGATTGATGGTGAGCTTTTCCGGTCTTAAGAGAAATTTTATACAGTATATCGTGTCATAACTTTTGTGCTGCGTTATATTCTAACTTGCCACCTATATTTATTTCGTTTAGCAAAGCTGCCCAGCAGGAACCTAACGAAAAGCAAATCCCGGGAGATTTTGCATATGATTCCGGCTCATTCTCACTTGTATGTAATTAAGGCCTCAAATTTAAATACTCGTACATATTGGTTGATAATTGTTGTTTTTAAAACATCCGCAAAACAATTTAGTTCACATACAAAGTAATTTGCATGGTGGTATAGAGCCAATGGTGCTCAATTTGAGAGCGGAATACGATGGTTACCTGGAACTTTGGAGCAGTTCTGCAGTTCAGGGTACTTGGTGTGGTCGTACCGCCAGTTCCCAGCGTTACCCACGCACCAATACCTCTGGCCGACAGGGTTACTGGTGTTGCCGTTGATGAAGTATCCCGGAAAGCATCTGGAACAAACGGGAAGCATTTGATACTCAAATTAATAGCATGTGCAAACTTCTGTAGTTAGCTTTATTGCAAATCAGAATAGTTTAATTGGTCATTGAAACTTTTAGCTCTTCTAAGCATACCAGTTGCTTCCACATAGCACTTATTTACTTATTTGCTGGTCAGTAAAACAGAAATAAGTTTTTTTTATTTTACTTTATCTAGCTTCTGCAAGAAAAGAACAGCTGCTTGTTATCTCAGTAATTTTCCAGATTTCAATCATCGACATGAGTCAGTAGATAAAAGAGTGGTCCTGCATGTAGGCATTCTTGGTCATGCATTCTTGATCCACATTTTTTACATGTGTTCTTATAAAAGTAATGCGTCTACTTGTTCCCAAAAGATGGGAAGTCCTGAGTTTACACATGCAGGCGGTTACAAATTTAAACACACAGGGGTTTGACTAAATATGGTTCACACCTGACATTTTGATATCTTAATTTTTGAACATGTTATAAACCACGAAAATATGACATATTTCTATGTTTTATTGTTGCTGGATAGCTTAGCAGCTGAAGCGCTAGTAATCATAGGGTCACTAAACTAACTTATTGTTGCTGTTATTGATACTTTATCCACGAACAGATATTTTTAGTAAATAATTTTGTCTGTAACCTAACCTATAACCCATAAATGGCAAACTCTCTTTGACTTGCAAAGAGGCCAAATTGTTGGTACCCGTATGGCAGGTGCTAGTGAGTCAGAAACTTCCCGAATGCATGGCGTTTCTAGAGGTACTGTGTCAAAAGTACTGATTGCTTTTGAAAGAGAAGGAAAAACGTTTTTAGCAAAGCACAGGTCGGGCCGAAAGTCGAAGTTGTCTGAGAGAGACCGTCGGTCCCTATATCGAATTTTGAGGGACAATCGAAAGACCACGGCTGTAGAAATTACTGCAGACCTCAATGGACACCTACAAAACCAAGTTTCCATAACGACTGTTCGCCGAGAGCTGCACAGATCTGGATTTTATGGAAGAGCTGTAATTAGAAAACCTCTGGTGTGAAATACAAATGATTCATAGCGTTAACAGTGGTGTATGACCCTTAAGAATTGGTCCCTCGAGCAGTGGAAAAATGTGATTTTCTGCGACGAATAATCGTTTACCATAATTTCCAACCTCTGGCCGACTTTACATTTGGAGACAGCCAAAATAGTAATTTAATTCCAACTGCCTCCTCCCACTCGTAAAACGTGTCGGAGGATCTGCAACGATTTGGGGGTGCTATTTCTTGGAAATCTTGCGGACCAATGATTTCTTTTCAGGGAAGAATCAACAGCCGTGACCATTTAGGAATTTTGGAGGACAAAGTTCATCCAATCGTTTAAACACTGTTTCCGGAGGAGAACGTCACCTTTCAAGATGGTAATACCCCGATCCATACAGCTGGAATTGTTGAAAATTGACACGAGGAACATTTTAATGTAGTTGAGCATTCGAAGAGAAAAATGCACCAACTCATGAGACAGCGCACCAACTGTGGAAGCTTTTACTTGCCTTCCTGGCAGTCCCAGCAACACATTTGATGGATAGGCTCCAGATTTCTGTTGAAAATACAAATGGAGTTAGAAAGCTCTCGAATGATCGAAGCCATTAGCTCGAACAGTCGATACAAAGGAACTGACTGGAAATTTCGGCATCATAACACAAAGTATCAAAAAATCCTAATTGTCTGGTATATGAACTCCAATAGCCAATTCGTAATATTGATAATTGGAAAAATATCGTACATAAGCAATGTACATGCATTATATTACTCGAAGAGTTCAAATTTATAATATATTATGTCATTTATTTCTATTTATTTCACAAATTTAACTTACATAAAAAATTTGGTACACGCAGGAGGCATCTGTCCACATTATTATTAAAAAATTTGTATTATGTACCAACCATATATGTTAAATATAATGCCAAAATTAGGGTGTACTTACGTAACACGTAACTTTTTTGTCGGAAGTACAAAAAGTTACGAAGTTTTGATAATACGGCCCCTGGCTGAACTAAACTGCCTTTCCTCACTCTGCTGCAAGCACTCCACGCACCTGTATCCCCTCTTAACACCAGCACAAACTACAAGCACCAGCATAAGCGTAGAGTATTACGAGCCCCATTTTGGCCACACACGCGCCATTTTGGCCACACTATTCGCCACACACGCGTTAGCTCACACCCAGATGTAGAGCCGCTAATTTACGCGGTAGACGGGCCGACGGCGTTACTGTACCAGAAGCTGACACGAACGTAAATTTTGATAGATCCAAGCTTGCAAACAATTAATGAACTGCACGAGTGCTTACCGCCCGCTCAAGCATACATACCAGGTACCGGCAATCACCCCACGTGTCAGCAATAGCACAGGCACACAACGCTAGCACTTGAACACACCCAACGTTCCATAATACATCTCAAGCACCTACATTCACTCCATCTATGAGCACCAATACCACGCACTAGCACACACCCCACCCACCAGCATACACGTAATGAACACATTGCAACACGTGGAACTAAAACATCTTGCGCACCCGAATAAAGCCAACGAGGCTCTCCAGGTCTCTGCGTGACGTAGGACGAGCCAGAGCTCCACCTGTCGCCCTGCAATTCTGCTGGAAAGTGGCGAGTTGAGACAAGAAGTAGCTGTAGGGTACAGTGGACGAGATGTAACCATCGCTTATATAATAGCAGCTGCCGCCGAGCTCAGAGCGTTTGTACTTCGTTGGGCAGGCGGCTGGCTTCATGCAACCATAGGTTCTTGTGTCCGAGCACAACCCTCGGACCACAGCCGTGCTGTTGTATAAAATTGTACAGCCTCCGGAGTCGCTGTTTACCTGAAGACATGTGGAACAGGTAGAGCTTCTTCAATACTTTTTTTGCGTGAAGAAATTTCGCACTAATAATTTTTTTTTGTTCGTATATTAGCGCCCGTACTGAGCTTCATATTGGAAATATCCTGAATATGTCATAATTAACCGAACTAGCTCTTATCACTTATCGACTAGCAGGGATAGCGTAATTTGTATTTTAGAAACTGAACGCAATTAATTATTAAAACTACAAATAACTACACACATCGCAGCCTGAAGATGACGCACAAACGTAGTGACTTGAAGCGTTGTCAGGATTGTCGTAGTTGTACCTGCAAAAAACCTTATTAGTTGCGTGAATTCATACCAGAGTGAATTGTGTGAAATCTGTAATTCAACGACTAAATTTAAGGTTGATTTTTGACTAACTGATCATAATAAATGATATGCATGTCACAGAAATGAATTGGAAGCCCCCGAAACTAGTGTTAGCCGCACCTGTCACCGTGGGCTGTGTAAGAATTCATCCCAGAGCTTACGAGGTCGTCGTTCAGATTGTCGTATTGTAAGCGCACCAAATTTGCTCCCTGTGCCGTACATCTGTCATGGCAGACGAAGGGGGATTAGCAGTTTGTGGTGTTGAGACATGAAGAATAGCAGGTTGTGGACATGAGACATGACCAGAGACATGGAGACTGGCAGGTTGTAGTCATGAGACATGAAAACTAGCAGGTTATGGTCATGAGACATGAGGCAGTAATGATGAGTAGAGAAGCTTTAATTTTAACTCCGAGATTGAAACTCTTTTCGAGTTTAAAGGCACTGATCGGTAATAATCGTCACTATATTTACTTATCAGCAACTTTTTTTCGGAACTCGTTCACTGAAAACAGTATTGCCAGGAACCAGGGAAATGGGACTGAGATTAAAAAGTTTGCAGCAACCTTACTAGCACCTTTAGTCTTATAGTGGAGAAGTAGAAATCACACGAGAATTTTTCGTGAAAAGTACCCGTAAAACACGTGGCTCAAGACAAACGTGCTACACGTGGCCAGTGATACACGTTTCGCACTATATAGCAGCAAATTATGATCAACCGATCTATAACTTTAGCAGCACAACTTCACCAAATCGACACTTCAGCGAACTCGCCTGCGAACTGGCCTGCGCCTTCGAGTGCAAAACCTAACTTGACGTTCAACTCTGCCAGCCATAAACCCATCAATAATGAACGGATTTTATTCAAATTTGAAAAATCAGTAGATAATATCGGTAATTTGTGGACGGAATTATTTCAGATTTTTACATCAATTACTTTTTTTATTAATACGGAAAACCTAATTTCATTTTCAACTGCCAGCCATAAATCCATTAATAATGAACGCATTTCATTCAAATTTTAAAAATAAGTAGATATAATCAATAATTTGTGGACGGATTCATTTCAGATTTTTACATTAATTACTTTGTTATTAATACGGAAAACGTTACTTCATTTTCAACTCTGCCAGCCACAAATCCATCAATAATGAACGGATTTTATTCAAATTTGAACAATTAAGTAGATAATATCAGTAATTTGTGGCCGGAATTATTTCAGATTTTTCCATCAATTACTTTTTTATTAATACGGAAAACCTAACTTCATTTTCAACTCTGCCTGCCATTAATCCATCAATAATGAACGGATTTAATCTAAATTTAAAAATAAGTAAATATTATCAATAATTTGTGGACGGATTCATTTCACATTTTTACATCAATTACTTTTTTATTAATACGGAAAACCTAACTTCATTTTCAACTAAGCCAGCCAATAATCTATCAAGAATGAACGGATTTTGTTCAAATCTGAAAACTTAGTAGATAATATCAGTAATTTGTGGACGGAATTATTTCAGATTTTTACATCAATTACTTTTTTATTAATGCAGAAAACCTAACTACCCGTTCACCTCGCAGGTTGGGTCCTAGTCAAGTCAAATTTCAGTATTTAGTGGCATTTAAAGAAAGTAATTGATATAAAAATCTGAAATAATTCCGTCCACAAATTACTAATATTATCTACTTATTTTCCAAATTTGAATAAAATCCGTTCATTATTGATGGATTTATGGCTGGCAGAGTTGAGCGTCAAGTTAGGTTTTGCGTTCGAGTGCGCAGGCCAGTTCGCAGGCGAGTTCGCTGAAGTGTCGATCCGGTCACAACTTCTCAATTGTCCCATTTGCCACATAAATATCGTTCACGGCGGGTTAGTTAAATCTAATCGAACTTACTCAGGCGTGAATACGAATGCCAATTTTAGTTATCAAAATAAGTTATATTAATTATTCATTCTATCCTGATGATAATCGTAGGTTTTAATCAACAACTCCAAAACGTACAAGTAGGCGGCGTTGAGGAAGCTGGTCGCCTTAGGATCTTCCATGAATTTGTAGCATTCGTCGGCTTTTCGGCTCTCCACGTAGCCGTCCGTACACCCAACTGATGGAGGAGTTCCGTCACAGAGGAAAATTCCCCAAAGAATATAAAATGAATTAATACAGTAAAGGACATAAATAAAATGGGATTATAAATCATTATATAAATAGGACATTCATCCGACTATCTGGATTACCAATATTACACGTCCCTCTCCCACACATAGCGTGCTAATATTGACCAAGCATCGTGCACTCACAGCTGCAAGGTAAGGTGATGTTTCTGTCCCACCGCGGAGGGTTTCCGCTCAGGCAAGTCACATTTCCCTGAAATGTTCGGTCTTCAATGACGTTTCCCTCCATGTTGAACTCCCCCAGGCACTTGTAAGAAAGATTCGCTCCCGGCATGCGATCGTGCGGAAAGTTCAGTACCGAAGTGGTGGCGTTCCACGAAGATGAGTCGACGTCGCCATTTAGCATGAGTGGGCAGCTGGTGTCTGTCGAAAGAGTATAAGGCGACACAAATAAATGAAGACTTCAAGTTATTTTTATGGCATTGTATGTATCCTGTTAAACATTTTTAAGAGCATAAATTGTGAGTGAAACTTTCGGGTTAAATTCGTAAGTGAAACACGAATAAATAGAAAAATATAAAATTAATGTTCTACAGCTAATTTACTTATGCTTCGCCGGCGTCTTGCTTGACTCCAACTTACTTTCGTCAACCGATTTCGGTCGGATATAAATCTGAGCCATCTGGATGTTACTAACAGATCCCCATAGTAGACCGCAGCCCACGGCGGTTTGCACTGGTTTCAGGAACGACTGTGATGATCAAACAGAAAGAAATTGTTTATATTTTTTTTATCAAACGATTGAATATTAACAATATGCACCTTACCCTGAGTTCTGGGCTCGGATCATGCCATCTTTATTCTCGGCGCTAAGAGACACTGTGTGACGAAAATGTTATATGATGAAATGCGAACCTCATTCCTATGCGTTTAACTCCTTCGCGATGAAAATTTCTTCAGCTTCAGTTGTTAAAATTTGATTGATATTTTTTAGATCTGAAAGCTGATAGCTAAATTCATCATATATTAAATCGTTTAAAAATTCCTGACGTACTTTAGTGACATCGATTGTATGGTATTCCCATTAGACGGCTTTGTAGCAAGACAATGAAACTTGATGGGAAAACAGTTATCGTTTTCAGATTTATATGATTGAAAAGTACGTTGTCTAAATCAGGAATATATAAATTCTTATACCTTGTGATGAAAAAAAATTGAGAGGAATATAAGGCCAGTAAAATAGACTATTACACACAGTGGGAATCAGTAATATTGAAAATAACGTAATCTATACGGATTGAAAAGTGTACAAGTAATTGCATAATGTATTAAATGAAAATTGCATTATGTAAAATAAAGGTCTGAAATTTATAAAAAACAGAAAATAATAAGAAATTTTCATAAAGGGACAATAAAATGCATAACTTGTTTCCTAGAGATATGGATTTAAATTTTGAAATAAATAGTTGGAAAAATTAAAATTTCGGAAAAATTCAAGGCTAAATGAGGGATGGTGAATATATGTTATGGGTACCAAAAGTGTGGCAGGGAGCGGGGAGACTGGTGAAGTGAATGAGATAGTTTGCAACAATGGCTTTATTATATACTCGCTGACAGATGGACTTCCATCTCATGACTTGTATCATGAATTTTCGCTAACCTCATGTGGTTTCATCTTTAACCAATTTATTTCACATGTTGAAATCCTGAATCCCAAAGCCAAGCCTACAGCAATTCACTATAATAAACGCGAAGAATTTTATAACTTGCCTAAAACGAGATAAAAAATTAATGATGAAATGCGACATTTTGATTGCAGTTTAAGAAAAGTCTACGTTGCCAATTCGATCCTTTCTCGATTTCTGGATTATTTCTCAAATGTTACAAAAAATGTAACTCAGTACTCACTGCAGTGAGTGACAGAGAGCGCATTTTCTCGTCGATGAAAACTTGAGGTCACGGACGGACGGACGGACGGACGGACAGACAGACAGACAGACGGACATGGCGACCGTAGTAAAGTTCTAATAGTGAAATCAATTCGGAACGGAAGGTTTGAACACATGATCAGGTAAGTTGAAAGAACCAACCCCTTTTCTTTGTTGGATGAGGGTATACGTCGATTGGTTGTCTTTGGCGATCCACGGAGTCCACCAATCCAATAGGAAGTCCACACCCAGGCTGTGCCACAGCGCGTCGCCTGCAAAAACAACAATGTTATCTGCAGTTTAGTTGAATGTCTTGCACTTGTATCATTTATAAAAAGGCTGCTGTGTTGCAGATGCTGCATGAATGACGAGATCTAATCAGCAGTTGTCCTATTAAAGACCTTATTAATCCTGTATCATATTGATTACAGGATAACGTGTCTTTTCTTAAGTTAATCAAATAAGTCGATCATCCATCGAGTACATGCGTATGTTGTTTTATAAAGTCGAATTCGCATGGCTTGACTATAAGTGACTAGTTTTTTGTATGATCTGATCTGTGTGTTGCATTTTAAATGATATTAATATTGATGAAAAATTTTATGCAAAATTATATATTTGTGAGCCCTTAATGACTGATTACGTTAGATTCCATTAGATAGAACGTTAGATAGATAGAAGTTACGTTAGATAGAACGCAATCTAATCCACGCACCGGTGTTGCTGTGGTAATTGCCGATGGATCTAGGCGCTTTCTTGCAATATATAATTAATAACTATTGTATTTAGCATACCAGCGTCTTCGTCGTGGTAATTGCCGTTGAATCCATGCGCTTTCTTGCAATATATAATTAATAACTACTGTATTTAGCATACCAGCGTCTCCGTGGTAATTGCCGACGATTCCATGCGCTTTCTTTTAATATATAATTAATTAATAGCTATTGTATTTAGCATACCAGCGTCTCCGTGGTAATTGCCGATGGACAGAAGCTTGTAGTCGGGGCTGGGACCGATGGTGACGTTGTCGTACGTAGCGATCCTGGACCCGCCTCCAGTTAGGGTTAGCTCCACCTGAGTATCGTTACTGGTTCTAAATTGGACTGTCAGATAAAGATCGCTTTCTACACTGACATGATAAATATAAGTTATTAGGTCACAAGTTGTCCTGAATTTCCTTTGAGTATTTCACTGTCGACCTGCTTCCCAGCGATTGTCGATTTTTATCCCAGCGGTTCCAGCGAAAAGAAAGACTGGATGTTTGCATGCTCTGACTAGCTGTTGCTGGGCCTCCCGCGCTGTATTTCCAGGTTTTAGTGCTGATCAACTAAAAAAATATTCTCCCTTATCTCGCCTCTGACCAAAAATTCTCAATTGAAGGTCAATATAATTTTTACAATCAAATTTATTGACCAGTCTTCAGCAACTTTTTTTCAAAATGGTAATTTTTTTCATAGCAGAATTGCGATTTTCGTTATTTCTGTAGTAAAATGTTACAAGGAGCAGGTAAATATAGAACAAGTTTAGTTCTAAAAATTACAGTTTATAAGAGGATAAACAAACTGGCGATGTTGAAATGAAGTTACATAATTTGAGCTGAATAACGGTATCTGAAGACTTTATATGAGATTTTAATTCGTAAAATTAGATCAGTAGCATTAGCCTTTAAGCATAATGTTTGTTAGCTTACGTTAATGACGACCGCAGCCTCGGAACTATTGGTCGATCCCGTCAGCTGTTGCCAGTTGTCGAGCCCTGATATGAATAAAATGAGGAATATAATAACAAAAACTGCTTAATAAACTAAATAACTGCTTTTAATGGGAAAACTACTGGATCTTATTCAACTATCAAATGCTTTGCTCTGTTCAAAAGTTATACTAATGACCGTTACAAGAACTGACAAATGAACATGGATTCCTATAGCAATTAGGGTTAGCTCCACCTGAGTATCGTTATTAAACTTATATTATAACAAATATATTATATAATATATTAAACAAATCTTATATTAAACAAATCTTTGTAGCCAAACTTCCCACAGTGCCTGCCAAGCGTGGATTTGGAATCAAAAAGCCTGCCATCGACATGTTTAATTTACTCGCTGACAGATGGACTTCCATCTCATGACTTGTATCATGAATTTTCGCTAACCTCATGTGGTTTCATCTTTAACCAATTTATTTCACATGTAATAAATTGAGTAAGACCGACCTTAATTGAGTAAGTCATGACCGCTGACTTCAAGACAAAGATTTTAAGCCTATTCAGTTGCTCGTAGACATGCAGCGTCCCTAGGCTAGCTGTGCGTATATTATTTCAGTGCGTTTACTAATGCAGTTTTATCCATTTTTTCAATTTCTCGTTTTTATTAATTACATACGGATCATATGTTTGTATATTTCATGTATTAGAATTCATCATGATTTGATATTGCTATTTTATATAAATTTTTCCCATCTAATAAAAAGCAGTTGTCAAAGCTGTGGAAATCCTGAATCCCAAAGCCAAGCCTACAGCAACTCACTATAAACGCGAAGAATTTTATAACTTGTCTAAAACGAGATAAAAAATTAATGATGAAATGCGACATTTTGATTGCAGTTTAAGAAAAGTCTACATTGCCAATTCGATCCTTTCTCGATTTCTGTAGGCTGTGCCACAGCGCGTCGCCTGCGAAAACAACAATGTTATCTGCAGTTTAGTTGAATGTCTTGCACTTGTATCTTTTATAAAAAGGCTGCTGTGTTGCAGATGCTGCACTGTTAGAAAAATTGCCGTTAACGCTATCACCGGCGTTTCAGTGGCCGGTCGGCACGTGAAAAGAAACACCGTGTCGCCGTTTGTATTCTAATTTGACGCTAGAAATCGGTAAAACATCTGGTAAAAACGGCGAAACAATTTACTTTCACAGCGCGACCGGCCACTAGAACGCCAGTGGGACCGTTTTTTTACAGTTTTTTCTAACAGTGTGAATGACGAGATCTAATCAGCAGTTGTCCTATCAAAGACCTTATTAATCTTGTATCATATCATATTGATTACAGGATAACGTGTCTTTTCTTAAGTTAATGAAATAACTCGATCATCCATCGAGAACATGCGAATGTTGTTTTATTAAGTCGAATTCGCATGACTTCACTATAAGTGACTGGTTTTTTGTATTATCTGATCTGTGTGTTGCATTTTACATGATATGAATATTGATGAAAAATTCTATACATAATTATATATTTGTGAGCCCTTATATAATGACTGATTACGTTAGATTCCGTTAGATAGAACGTTAGATAGATAGAAGTTACGTTAGATAGAACGCAATCTAATCCACGCACCGGTGTCGCTGTGGTAATTGCCGATGGATCTAGGAGCTTTCTTACAATATATAATTAATAAATATTGTTAGCGCATTTTCTCATTTATGGAAAAAATGCACTATTGTATTTAGCATACCAGCGTCTCCGTGGTAATTGCCGATGAATCTAGGTGAATTCTTACAATATATAATTAACAACTATTGTATTTAGTATACCAGCGTCTCCGTGGTAATTGCTCTTAAAATATATAATTAATAACTATTGTATTTAGCATACCAGCGTCTCCGTGGTAATTGCCGATGGACAGAAGTTTGTAGTCGGGGCTGGGGCCGATGGTGACGTTATCGTACGTCGCGATCCTGTACCCGCCTCCAGTTAGGGTTAGCTCCACCTGAGTATCGTTACTGGTTCTAAATTGGATTGTCAGCTAAAGATCGTTTTCTACACTGACATGATAAATATAAGTTATTAGGTCACAAGTTGTCCTGAATTTCCTTTGTGTATTTTACTGTCGACCTTCATGCCAGCGATTGTAGAGCTTTATCCCAGCGATTCCAGCGGAAAGAAAGACTGGATGTTTGCATGCTCTGACTACCTGTTGCTGGGCCTCCCGCGCTGTATTTCCAGGTCTTAGTGCTGATCAACTAAAAAAAATCCTCTCCCTTTTCTCGCCTCAGACCAAAAATTCACAATTGAAGGCCAACGTAATTTTTACAATCAAATTTATTGACCAGTCTTCAGTGACTTATTTTACAACAGTAATTTTTTTCTTACTACGGCTTACTTTCGCCGTTACTTCTACAGTAAAATTTTCCAAGGAACTGTTAAATATAGAACAAGATGAATTCTCAAGATCACAGTTTATAAGAAAGTAAACAAACTGGCAATGTTGAATTGAAGTTACATAATTTGAGCTGAATTACGGTATCTGAAAACTTTTTTTGAAATTTTAATTCGTAAAATTAGATCAGTAGTATTAGCCTTCAAGTATAATGTTTATTATCTTACGTTCATGACGACCGCGGCCTCGGAACTATTGGTCGATCCCGTCAGCTGTTGCCAGTTGTCTAGCCCTGATATGAATAAAATAAGGAATATAATAACAAAAACTGCTTAATAAACTAAATAACTGCTTTTGATGGGAAAACTACTGGATCTTATTCAACTAATAGATGCTTTGCTCTGTTCAAAAGCAATCAAATGACCGTTGCAAGAACTAACAAATGAATTGTATTCTTATATAGCAAGTGACACGAGTCTTTTGTTTAAACGAATATTTGTAGTAAAACTTCCCACAGTGCCTGCCAAGCGTGGATTTAGAATCACAAAGCCTCCCATAAAGATGTTAAATGTTGGTTAATCATATGTAATAATATAGTTGGTTAATATTATAGAGTATAGACTGATGCATTTTATGGTGTGTACTCAGTGCTTCGCTGTACGAAACTCGAGATCACAAAAACTTCGGGATCGCGTGGTACGGTAGCACAAAAACTTTGAGGAATACTGGACCTGAACAATAATAAGTTGTTTATGAACATCAATTTATACATTCAAGTATACTTGAAAGAATAATTAGCATTAGCAAAGTATTTCATGAATTCTTACACGTTCAGAAGGGTTTAAGAATATGAATGCTCAAGGTTATCGACAAACTTTGGTGACCAAGGTAGTTAGGTGGAATCGAATCAGAACTATCGAATATAAGGAAAATATTTTTTGAAGCAGTTCCTTTGTGGTGAATTGCCTGAATATTCATAAAACCAAAGTAAATGTATATCGTTTGGTTACGGATAGTAGCGATGAACATTCGAGGCCCCTAAAGATTGCAATTATCGTCAAATTGCCGACAGTTTGAAACGAATTCACTTGGAGTTCATAAGCAGAAAATATTTGGCGTTGCACAAGTGTTTTTTCATTCAGTAATTATAATAATTGGATATTTTATCTTGTGCTGGCTGCTGATACCGCAGCTTTACTCACTATCTCGCTATAAAAAGGCTGTCACACATCAGGATTAAAAGTAAAAACCAACCTTCCCATAGTTCGCAAGCGTTGTCAAATTTCGCCTCATGTATCGGGGAATAAAAAAGAGAAAAGCTCATTTTTTCCCCTATCCATATCATCTAATATTGACTTTTACGGTAGTTTACGCAACAAATCGTGGTCTCCTGAAGAATTTACCATCCCACACCATTAAAAATGAAAGTGAAGATCTACACTAACAAATTTTATAAATAAAATATTTATAAGAACAAAATTGGAAAACAAATAAAATTACTTTTCACATTTTCAATGCCGTTATTCACCTATGCTGTAAGGGCAGGAGCTAGAAGTTAGAACGGAAAGAGCGGAGGGCGCTGGACAAGAGTTCTTCTGGCAGTAGACGCGAGTCCAGCCTCCGCCTTGATCTTCCAGTTCGCACCAAACCTACAGTCATACGTTCGTTTAAAGGCTTAGTGGTGTGAAATGGATACAGTTACCAAAAAGAACGAAATCGAAGCAATAAAAACAAAATACAGATGCAATAAACAAAATGCAATAAAGGAATCTAATCAGTTCAAGTACGTATATCATTGGTTGTCTTCTTTCGCTCGTTAAGTGAGAATTTCAAAGCGAAAAAAGCCAAATAAATTCATTTCACACGGGCAGAATGAAATTGATGTTTTTTTGATGATTTAATTTTCACTGCATGCTTACGTTGACCGGCGGGTCGGCTGGGTCCCCCGATGGGATCACTTGGTAGGAGGCGCTGTCGTTGATACCGAAAGCCTGTACGTCCGCGCAGTGTCTCGGCCATGGGCACTCTGCGCACAACAATAATCGAGAATTGATTCGTATACTCATGACAAGGCACTGTACTGTACATCTGATGTGTTCGACGATATCAACATTCTGTATTGTAGATAATCCTAAACAATAAATCCGAGTCTACTTGCGAGATTTTGAACAATTTCTACTTTTGGAATTGTCAGCAGATTGTGAACCTGCCGGGTTTGACAGCTTTCATCAAATCTAACATGCTCACTTTTCTTCGTACTCCTCACACTGATCCAGGATCATGAAAAATGCAAAGTCAGTGAAATTCTAAATAGATGTAATAAATAAAGTGAAGGGGATGAAATTACCCTGAGCGCAGATGTCATATATGTCTGTCCAGGTTTTGGAGGAGCTGCAAGAACTATTCTGCTCCGTGGCGCCGCTGAGGAAGAAGAAGCCGTCATTGCAGGTGTAGGTGTAGACGCCGTCTGCGGTGTTCTGATTTCTTGAGTTATCCAGGACGGGCGGTAAGGCGGTACAACCCCCATTGTCGAACCCTGATAAATACAGAAAAATCATTCGCAATGTTCAACGGCTGAACGCAACTATCGAATGTATTAATTCTGGAACGGTGCGCTGTTATTTTCCGAAAACTGAAAGAATGAACTTGGTTATATGAACAGAAATTCGAACAACCTTCAAATATTTCGACAATGTTGAGCTTTATTTTCATCGTTTGAGCTTCGATTACTTTCTCACTAAGGAAAATTGCACCATACGAAGTTGACAAAAAAAGATCAATGTAAGATTGGTTGGATTAACATTTTTTGGGCAGGAGCAAGAATGAAGTGTTGATTTGTGCATAAACTCATCGATAATTTTTAATAAGGCCAAACTTCTATTTATATGTTGCTTCTCGATGTTTCATATATTACTTTTTTCTGCTACTACTCTCCTCTTTTCAAAACCATCGTTGCACACCCACTAGAATATAAGGCGAATGGAGTAAAACTATGCAATAGCTCATTGATTCACCAATTGTGACATGATTTACTGACAAAAAATAATTCCAAGGCGTGTTTTACACAAAGTATACTTTTGATATGAAAAACAACACGTAGACTTTTTCAATGAATATTTTATTCATTTGAAAGGCCATAATTTACTCTACTAATCTGATTAATTCTGATTAATATAAAATATTGAGGCATTTAACATACTTTGGGAACAGCTTTTGAATGCCATTGACATGCAAAGACGCTTTCCGCCTGAATTGACAACCACTGCTTCACAGTCAGTTAGAGAACAGACTGTGAACAACCACAGAGACAGACAAAGAACAACCACAGTCGATCTGTGCATCATCGATTCTCTCTCAATTTACAGTCCACTTTTTGAATAAGATCATCAATAATGACTGAAGATCTCCCACTTCGTTCCTAATCATGATTGGTTGTGCGGCCATCTTTAAAGGTCCTAAAACATTTCAGCAACTCACAATGGTTGCTGAAATGGAATGGTCCATCACTCATAATGTTTTTACTATAAACTTCCCTGGTTTCGCCATGAATGTCAACTGATTCGAAGACTTAGGCATAGAGAAAGCAGCTCCACAGCTCTGCCACAGCTCTGCCGCAGCTCTGCCACAGCTCTGCCACAGCTCTGCCACAGCTCTGCCATAGCTCTGCCACAGCTCTGCCACAGCTCTGCCGCCGCGTGACTCAAAAGCGGTACTCACTCTATAGCCTAATACTTCACTACACATCTCTCATCTCTCAAGTCCAATCAGTTATTAATTCATTATGAATTACTCATAACTAAACGAAATATGAATAGTTTTTCACGTGTTTCTATATCAATACGTAACTTGTAATATTCCTATTACTCATAAACAATTCTTCGATGAAGATTGTTAATTAATTGGAAGGTATGCAAAGGGTGCATGTGTACCACCGAGAACCCATGAAATGATATCTGCAATGCAAGGTTACATTTTGAGTTCTGTGAAATTCGATAAAAAAAAGATAAATTCGATATTGTGTAAACAAGACGTAAATAAATAAACTTTGCTTGATTTAGAAGTTGATATAAATGCCAGCAAGATGAATATACGTGAGAAGTACTACAAAATAGGAAACATCAAATTCAGGATCATTGAGTCAATAACATTATGGTATAAATTAATAATTTTTCATCACTGAATGAAGACGAATATGCAATAGCAAGCTGATAATAAAAATGCTCCCGAGATAATATGAAAAATGAAGATGAAACTTGCCGCACAATCATTCAAGCATCATTAATTGATGAAAACTAAATGAAAGTGCAAGCATTTAATTGGAAGGCACCATGTAATAAGAACTGGTTTGAAATGCAATATTAAATTCAATGAGCTTCGATATTGGAAGTTCCAAAATTTGTAAGACACCACACCACATTTGTAGTAAACTTACAATGAAATAAAAATAAAATAATTTACTTCGCATCAGCAAATTTAGGAAACCTGAAATAAATAAATAGATCAAAGATAAAAAAATAGATCAAATAGATCTATTTGATTGATAGATCAAAAAATAGATCAAAAGACTCCCAGTAGAAATACGTGCAATAAAGTAGGTTCTCCTAGGTTGCCCTGGATATAACAGTTATAAATAAGTTTCCCGGTGATTATATAATTGTTTTATAACAATTATATCCAGGGCAACCTAGGTGAACCTACTTTATTGAGAGTTAGTTGCATTGATTGCTAGAAAAAAAGGCTCCCAGTAGAAATACGTGCAATAAAGTAGGTTCTCCTAGGTTGCCCTGGATATAACTAATTAAATCACTTCAAATAATACCAAAACGCTTCCTAAAATTATGAAATCGTAGGAATTAGAAAGTGCGATGGTATTGACGATGCTTTCATTAGGGCCAAACGAGTCGTGAAAGTAAAAATGCATCATGGACATTGTAAAATACATTTTAATAAAAAAATTCAATAAATTCAAGATAAACTGGGATAATGTCGATTTTGAAACGTGAAAATTGAATAATTCATGTCATATACTTCGTGAGCGGCCCACACCACCGTAACAAGAACGACTCCCGCAATACCCCACGCAAGCCACCGCTACTCGTAATCACCCTAATGCCTTTTAATAAAGAAACTTCATTAAATTAAAGCGAAACTGGAATAATGACGATTTTGAAACGTGAGAATTGAACAATTCATGTCATATGCTCACTCGAGCGGCCCTCACCACCGTAACAAAGAACGCCTCCCGCAACACCCCATGCAAGTCACCGCTACTATGGATCACCCGAGCGGTTTACACCACTGGAACAACAACGCCTCCCGCAACACCCACGCAAGTCATCGCAACTCGCGATCATCCGAGCGGCACTTACCACCGTAACAAGAACGCCTCCCGCAACACCCACGCAAGTAATCGCGACTCGTAATAATCCGAGCGGACCCCCTCCGCCGCAAAAACTCAAGTAAAACTGGTTGGTGGAGCATCGATGATGTATTGACGGAAATTATAAATGAAATACTGAAGGCTCATCGACGGCGTGTCCACTGGCAGCCATCTATGTTCCATATTCCGATGACAACACCCAAAACTTTTCCCTCACCAATAATTAATTTTTGGTCTCGGATGAGCTATTGATGGCCACATCTCAATATGAAGACGAGAATAAATTTTAGGTTAGTTTCAAGTCCAATACATCTCTACTCTTCTCCAGACCGACATTATTTCATACGATCACGCATTCTTAGAATTGCGTATACACTTCTAGCATGGTAATACAGGCAATAATGTTAAAAATGTGCGAGGAAAATATTATCACAGGCCCATACACGTACCTAGCGATTTAACCGTGGCCTCCGTCGCGCTGAGTGTAGCTCCTTGCGTTGAGTCATCGGAAGTGACTAAGCACAGGAGTCGTTTTGAGATACGCAATTGAAATATTGCAATTAATAATTCCATCCAATGCTATCAGTCCACTACCGTGACATTTTCCACTACAGTCCACTACCGTTAAAACAATTAATAATTTTTCATCACTGTAATAGCAAACATGTAATAGCAAACAGATGATAAAATGCACCCGAGATAATATGAAGAATTAAGCTGAAACTTGACGCACACTCATTCAAGCATCATTAATTGATGAAAAACTAAATTGAACTGTCATCATCATTTAATTAGAAGGCACCATTTAATAAGGACTGGTTTGATATGCAACAATAAATTCAATGGGGTTCGATATTGGAACTTCCAAGAAATTTGCAGGACATCATACCACATTTGTAGTAAACTCAAAATGAAACATGAAATAAAAAAAGAATAGATCAAAGCTTGTCGTAAAACTGGAAAATTGTTTCATAATTAAATCGCTTCAAATAATTCCAAAACGCTTCCTAAAATTGTGAAATCGTAGGAATTAGACAGCGCGATGATATTGCAGATGCTTTCATTAGTACAAAACCAGTCATGCATGTAAAAATGCATAATGAACATTAGAAAATGATTTTAATAAAGAAACTTCAATAAGTTCGAGCGAAACGGGAATAATGACGATTTTGATAGGTGAAAATTGAACAATTCAAGTTAAATGCTTACGCGAGTAGCCCACACCACCGTAACAAGAACGCCTATCGCAAGAATCCACGCAAGTCACCGCTACTCGTGATCACCCGAGCGGCCCACACCACCGTAACAAGAACGCCTCCCGCAACACCCATGCAAGTAATCGCTACTCGTAATAATCCGAATGGACCCCTCCGCCGCAAAAACTAAAGTAAAAATGGTTGGTGGAGCATCGATGATTTATTGACGGAAATTTACGAAAATCATAAGTGAAACACCGTTGGCTCATCGAAGGCGTGTCCACTGTCCAGCCGTCTATGTTCTATCTTCCGATGACAACTCCCGAAAATTTTTCCCACACCAACAACTACTTCCTGGTACCGATGGCTCATTGATGACTATTGGCGGCCACCTCTCAAATGAAGACGAGAATAAATTTTAGGTTAGTTTCAAGTCAAATACATTTCTACTCTTCCTCAGGCCGACATTGTTTCATACGATCACACGTTCTTAGGATTGCGTATACACTTCTAGGATGGTTGTACAGGCAATAATGTTAAAAATGTGCGAGGAAAATGTTATCACAGGCCAATACACGTACTTAGCGATTCAACCGTGGCCTCCGCCGCGCTGAGCGTAGCTACTTTCGTTGCGACATCGGAAGGGACTAAGCACAGAAGTCGTTTTGAGAAACTCAATTAAAATATTGCAAGTAAAAATTTCATCTGATGCTATCAGTTCACTACCATGACATTTTATACCATATGAAACACAATAGTGTTGATTAAATAGTTTCATTAATAATAAAATTCCATTATTAAGTATTAAACATAATTAATAATTTTCCATCAATGATGAAGACGAATATGCAATAGCAAGCTGATAATAAAAATGCACCCGAGATAATATGAAAAATGAAGCTGAAACTTGCCGCACACTCATTCAAGCATCATTATTTGATGAAGAACTAAATTAAAGTGAAATCATTTAATTAGAAGGCATCATGTAATAAGAACTGCTTTGAAATGCAATATTAAATTCAATGGGCTTCGATATTGGAACTTCCGAGAAATTTGCAGGTCACCACACCACATTTGTAGTAAATTCACAATGAAAGAAAAAATGAAATTATTCACGTCGCATCAGTAAATTTAGCAAACATGAAGTAAAAAAAGTAGATCAAAGCTTGCCGTAAAATTTGAAAATTGTCTCATAATTAAATCGCTTCAAGTAATTTCACAACATTTCCTCAAATTATGAAATCGTAGAAATTAGAAAAGGCGATGTTATTGCAGATGCTTTCATTAGTGCAAAACGAGTCATGCATGTAAAATTGCATCATGAACATTAGAAAATGCCTTTTAATAAAGAAACTCCATCAAATTAAAGCGAAACTGGAATAATGACGATTTTGAAACGTGAGAATTGAACAATTCATGTCATATGCTTACATCAGCGGCCCACACTACCGTAACAAAGAACGCCACCCGCAACACCCCACACAAGTCACCGCTACTCGTGATCATCCGAATGGCCCACACCACCGTAACAAGAACGCCTCCCGCAACACCCACGCAAGTCACCGCTACTCGTGATCATCCGAACGGCCCACACCACCGTAACAAGATACCGTAACAAGAACGCCTCCCGCAACACCACACGCAAGTCACCGCTACTCGTGATCACCCGAGCGGCCAACACCACCGTAACAAGAACGCCTCCCGCAACACCCCATGCAAGTCACCGCTACTCGTGATCACCCGAGCGGCCCACACCACAGTAATTAGAAAATGCCTTTTAATAAAGAAACTCCATCAAATTAAAGCGAAACTGGAATAATGACGATTTTGAAACGTGAGAAATGAACAATTCATGTCATATGCTTACATCAGCGGCCCACACCATCGTAACAAAGAACGCCTCCCGCAACACCACACGCAAGTCACCGCTACTCGTGATCACCCGAGCGGCCCACACCACCGTAACAACAACGCCTCCCGCAACACCCCACGCAAGTCACCGCTACTCGTGATCACTCGAGCGGCCCACACCACTGTAACAAGAACGCCACCCGCAACACCCCACACAAGTCACCGCTACTCGTGATCATCCGAACGGCCCACACCACTGAAACAAAAACGCCTCCCGCAACACCCACGCTTGTCATCGCAACTCGCGATCATCCGAGCGGCCCTTTCCACCGTAACAAAAACGCCTCCCGCAACACCCACGCGAGTAATCGCGACTCGTAATAACCCGAGCGGACCCCCTCCGCCGCAAAAACTCAAGTAAAAATGGTTGGTGCGCGGAGCATCGATGATTTATTGACGGAAATTATAAATGAAACATTGAGTGCTCATCGACGGCGTGTCCACTGTCAGTCATCTATGTCCCATCTTCCGATGGCAACTCCCGAAATCTTTTCCCTCACCAATAACTAATTTTTGGTACCGATGGCTCATTGATGAGCTATTGGCGGCCACCTCTCAAATGAAGACGAGAATAGATTTACGTTAGTTTCAAGTCTAGTTCATCTCTACTCTTCTCCAGACCGACATTTTACCATACGATCACACATTCGTAGGATTGCGTATACACTTCTAGGATGGTTGTACAGGAAATAATGGTAAAAATGTGCGAGGAAAATATTATCACAGGCCCATACACGTACCAAGTGTTTCAACTGTGGCCTCCGCCGCGCTGACCGCCGCTCTTACCGTTGCGTCAGCGGAAGTGACTAGGCACAGGAATCGTTTTGAGAAACTCAATTGAAATAATTCCATCCAATGCTATCAGTCAACTACCGAGACATTTAATACCATATAAATACACAATTGCGTTGATTAGATAGTTCCATTAAACACTTTATTTGAACCCGCTAATGTGTTCAAGTAAACGGCCATTTAAAAAAATTTAGTTTATCGATTACAAACCTTGCATCAGCAAGGTTTCTATGATGTATGATAAATATGTAAGTTCCTTCATGGAAACATACGTAAAAATATTTCCACAGATATGTTTTTGCGTAAAATAAGCAATATTTACAGTATGGAATTGATGGCAGTTCGGTGATTTGAAGAGTTAGGCAAGAAAACCTTCACCACTCGGCATCAAATTTTCTCTTTTCCCTAATCTATAAGATTTAGCGTAGGAAGGACACCGACGCTATTTTATATGAAAGAAGACTTTAACTTTAAATAATTATTTGATTGTATGAGCAAATTTGTCATATGTGAGTACATTGAACGATTGAAGTAAACGATAGAGAACTGAACTTTAATTTGTATCCCTCTCCATCAAGAGGATCGGAGTTTTTGACGAGCAAACTAGCCGAAAAGCAAATATTTCAAGCAATATATGGCAAGGATAAGTAGATAAGTTGCTCGACGCCGGCGCGCGCGACCAGGTACGAGATACGAAAGCGTAACGTGCACTTGTTGCGGGCAATTGAACCGCTGTCGACTATGTCAACGAGGCTGAAGATTAATGCAGAAAATGGATAAATATTATGAAACATGCTTGACCGATCCATACAAATTATACTAACTGACACAATGAATGAGACTCAACTGATCGCAATATTTCAAATATATTAAGTTTGCTCATATGCAAGACTCTCACAAAATTAGGCACTATATCGTGTGAATATGGAAAATTTAATTTCATGAAAATGTATTCATAGTAAAAAGTTTTTCTGAATTTTTCTGTGGACAGCATCTCAGTTTATATTAGGGGCTTTACTGTCTCATTCTTGTTCAGTGGCTTCACTGTTAACAAATTTGAAAATTTATGAACACCGTGCTTCCGGTCGCCAGTTTGACTCGTACCTACCAATTGGATAAATTTACTTGAATCGAATTTATTAAAGCCTAGCACAAAGAAAGAGGTTTTGATTTCTTATTGATCTCGGATGATCCGCTACCTAATAACTTATTCCTATGTTGGACAACTTATAGTGGCATATTCCTTCATGCACCCTGCAGTTCGGGCGAGCGGTTGTCGTTGGCTTACAAGCAGGAATAATGTAACTTGCCTTTAATACGCCATCGATGATTCGATTCTTTAAATCTTCTATAAATCAACAATGCACACAAGTTGTACTCGCCACCCTCTCGATTTATTGGCGTTTGCCCGTTGATTTTTGGCAGATGTGGCCACTCAGCATTATGTTGTGGCCACTGATTTTTAGGCCACCTATAATTCACTACACCCACCTATAACCAACCATCGGTGCGCCGTTCTTAATTTTTATTTGTGAAGAACAGCCTCACCTGACACAGCGGAGAGTTGGTGCAGCAAAAAGACGGCGGCGACCACGCAGGAGACGCTACTCGTCATCGTGGAGAGAAGTATTACTTCCCCTACGTAACTAAGGCTCCTGATCTGTTGCGTAAGTATAATTCAGTATTAAACATTGAACCTGAGTATAATTCAGTATTAAACATTGAACCATTATACCGAGAGCTTATAAATAAATACTTACTCATGCAGTATGGAATTCCAAGGAAGGTCCAAGAGTTGTTGCTGCAGGTGTTGATGAGCTGATGGTCGTCACCCGAGGTGAGGTAGGAGGTGTTGGGGCAAGTGTAGTAGATCACCGTCCCATTCACGAACTCTGAAGTCCAGTTGCTCTGCCAGTTGGTGTTGGGCGCAACTGCGGGTCCTGGGCACGCTGTACACACGGGTAAAGTTAGAGATTTTAAAGATTTCTTGTACCTCACGTCTTATTTTCGAGACGCAGATACGCAAGCTGCAGATAATTTTTCAGATTTATAATGATGATGATATAATATACAAGCTACAGATAATGTTCCAGATTTATAAGCAGTTTTGAGACGCAGATACGCAAGCAGCAGCTAATGTTTCAGATATTGACATTACGAACAATGAAAGCTGACCGATGAAACGCAGCTATCCCGTTCTTATCATCATTCTATGAGCAGAATTACTTAAAAGTTATTGTGCAAACGAGTGAGTTACAAATGAACCATCATCTTCTGTCGCAAATTCGCTGAAAAATAGAACAATCAAGTTATGCCAAAATGTATCATAGAGTTAAGAGCCTCTAATAAGACATAAACTCACAATCAAAACATGTGAATCTGCTTGAGATTTGCTCGATGGTTTCGTTAGTGGAGGAGGTGACGTTCCAGCCTGAGACGGGCTGACACTGCAGTTCTATGTAACGTTCACCCAGCAAGCTGGCGGTGTTAGGGGGGCAGTTGTAGCGTATTTTGTCGTACTCTCTGAAGCCAGTGTTGTTTACTAGGATGGTGTTGCTTATGCTTGGTGGTGGGCTGCTGCTGCAGGCTGAAAATGAAAGGCATGTTGATACTTTGCAGCGGAAAATTTTCTTAAAGTTGCTCTTCGAATCTAATAACTGTATTTTTTAAAAATGATTAAAAATGAATTAGATTATTTTCATGATCATTAATTTTCAATGATATTGGTCTCGTAGCTTAGCCATCAAATATATTTTATTTGCAAACAGATCGGTTTAACTATGAGTATGATTCATTTTTTCTTAATTTTACAGTAGTGAAAATTAATTTACAGTTCAATATAAGAAAATTTAGAGTCGCATTACTTCATGGGATGAGCTGGTTTTTCAACTGTGATACACTCTTTATAGCTAAGATATCTATTGAATATTCATCATCTTTATTGAATATCTACTGAATATTCATCATTGAATATTCATCATCATGACACGAGTTCAGACGTCCTCGACTTGGTATACTATGTAAAGTTGTACAAACTGTACAATGTACAAGACCTACTACGTAAGTCGTGTTCTAGCATACAGGGTCCCCCACTTGTTATTCAGAGTGAGAACCAAAGTATGTGCACGACCAAGTGCAGACGTGCTTGCAAACTGCGTCATGTCACGCCGCATACGTCTTTCAAGTCTCGAAAGATAAGCTAGCAACTAACAACTGTAATTACTTCAGTCACAACATCGGGACCTTCAAGTGACGTAATTGCAGACTGGTCGCTTGAACTGGCTCTTGTTTTTCCTCTCACTAATGCATCGTGGCTGTATGAACGAGTGTCGCACTTGTTTGTTGTGTTTAAATATATGCATGCATTATGAATTAATGCAAATCACGGTCATGGACAAACATAGGAGTGAAGCAATAAATTAGACCTCCGAGTGCATTAGGTGCGCAGCATACCCAATGTAAGATGGAAATTTCCAACTCTGAACTCCTGAAGTAAGACGCAGTTTGCTTCAAATACAAACCAATAATATCACGTCATACTGACTTATCGTCAAACTTCAAGAGGCCTACCTAAAAAAGCCAACAAAAATGTGCAGTCGAATATTCTTAGAATACTGTTTTTGTATATGATGCCCGTGATATTGATCCAGGGAAGAAGAATTGGTATATTTTTGATGATATTGCTATGGAAAAGAATCAAAATCCTGCTGATAGCTTTTACAACCGTGGAAGACATAAACTGCAGTTCAATTTACTTATCCCAAAACTATCACATATTACCAAGACAAACCATTAGAACGAATTTAAATTTGTTAATTTTAATCGAGTTACCTTTCATCGATATGAAGAATATTCATATTGATTATATTGCTTGTGAAATGCCCTATGCAGAGTTTCAAGAACTGTATAATACACGTATGAAGTACCTTATAATTTTGTGTTGATCAATAAAGATGAGCACCCCGGTTCTTGAATGTATTTCAAACATTTAAATAGATTATTTATTAAAAAAAATTTCTTCCATCAAAACACTCGCTCAAGCCCCGAGTTCACGGTTAATTAAAGAGTGCTCAATCGGGTTAAATGGTCGTTAACTCAAGATTTTGATGGTCAAGATAGTGGGTAATTGGTCGCACGACAGTGCTAAAATTTTTGATGGTCAAAATTCTTAATAAAATTGTAGGTAAATGACCACGTTTTATCCGGCGGTAAGTGTTCAATTTTGATGGGTAATATTCGGGGTAAATGATCGGTACCCTGTTAAGCTGTTTAGGCAAACTATTGTGATAGGCTCACTCCTATACTACTTATAATGTATGTATATATTTTCACCCTAAATATATTATATATAAGGCGCAAATCGTGATATGTGCTTATAATTCTGATGTAGCGATTAACTGTATAACTGCAGCCCTGTGGTACTTGCTCACCGACCGGAAAATGTTGCACTCGAATATAACGAAGGATCGCGTATAATGGTTTATTAGTCAAATAATGTGGATGATCACGTTTAGTCACTTATTAAATTCTTGTTATGATATGCAGTAAAGTAAGAAAGGAGTATTCATTCACATATGAGTGATTTTTGTAAATAAGTTTTTTCCATGTGTCTAACTTGCACATGCATATATAGCATAATAACATAAGAGAGCAGAAATCGTGATACTGTTTTTTTTTTCTAAAAAAAATTAGATGGCCGTATTAAGGTAAGTGCGCCTGTATTAAGGTAAGAAAATGCTGATAATTTATTAATTTCAGCAAACTTACTAACACGATTTCAGAAAAAATAAAAACAACAATAATAAAATCCATCTAAAAATCCTATTATTCATTTTTCTTACCGAACGAGAGTTATTCAGAACATTTAATTCGTAAAGACTTACCTTACTATTGCACCTGAAGTTTCAATGCCACACCCAACGCTAGAAACGGATTGTTTTTGTTCGTCTATAATTATTATTAGATTGCTGACACAAGCATAGTGCTAAGGGTGCTCTCTACTTGACTTCTGGCGAGGAATAATGGCTTGGAAGCGAGCAGTTCATTTCATGGCGCAGTGATCTGGAACACGTTTAAAATTTATTAGGAATTGATTTCGCAGACACGCCTGTATTCGTTTAATATCGCTGTTAGCCCCATTTGAGTGAGCTCGCATCTCAGAAAGTACTGCCCGGAGATTACTCGATGTCTAAATTAGCTGTAATGGCGCATTACTTATTGGCCTTTCCCGATGCTGCTCTTCTAAAGGAAAATAATGTAGCATCCATCATGGTATGCTATATAATTAGGCACGTCAGGAATATAATACTCAAAATAGGTTAAATGATTTGTTGCTGCAGACAAACACGTTTGACACTATTATTTATTTTTACTGTCTTTAGCATAACCTAATATATTTCTACAAAATATGAACCTTTTCACCATATGCGTATCTACTAGATCGCGTGATTCAAGGCTATCTACAGATTATCCAAATTGCGTGATTCGAGGCTATCTACAGTTTATCCCAGGTTGCATGATTCAGAGGCTATACAGTTTATCCAGATAGTGCGATTCAAAAGCTATACACAGTTTATCGCCTTCATGGCAACAAACATACAGGAAGTTTCTCATTCTTCGTCTCATTTTTAATTAAAGGATGTTAGGCAAATTTTCAAGTAGGAATATTAATATACTACTGCTTACAGCTCTTTATCGCCATCGCCGATTCATTCAAAAGACTATAGTTCCAAACTACAGAACAGTGATGTGATTTTAGGCATGAAATTTAAAGAAATACGCAGTAAGTAAGAACACGACTATCGAATAATAAGAAGAATAATTTCTTGTTTTCTTCACCAAGTTGGAAGTGTACATACAGGGTGATTCACAAAAACTTCCCGTTTTGTATTTCGAACCAAGCCGTCAAATGTTGCAAGAAAAGTGTGGAAAGTAGTTCATATGAAAGTCAAAGTCAGGAAGTTTATGTCCCGCCTAGCCAGTTACTAATATGCATTGCACAAGGGAGCAGCGTGCGTTTGCTGTCGAGGCGTTCTTTTCTAATGACGGTTCCACAATCGCTACTCTACTAGCAGTAACGGACGCGCAGTAACGCGGTGACTGCAACTCGGTACACGCAGCTCGCTTGTTTTTTATTTTGCAAAAACTGGCTGAAATGAATGTCAGGAATGACTGGTTCCAACAGCATGGAGCCACGGCCCACCAGCGCGATGTTCAATGCATCTTCTGAGACAATATTTTGCAGAGCGCCTCGTCATCTCCTTGAGAGGTGACCTTCTTTGGCTATCGTCATTGGCCTTATTCTTCATCGTCATTGGCCATTAGCCGTCATTTTTGGCCTTCGTCATTTGTAGGATGTCGTCTTTAGAACTGAACGATACAGAAATTCTGCAAATATCTTTTTCAAAAAAAAAATTGTATTTTAGTGATATGTTTACCAGTTTTTTATTGAGCTTTCAAATCTGGGAGTTTACGTTGGAAGAAATGAATGTAAAAAATCGTTTATGTCAATGTTTTTATTGGAGAATTTAATTGCTTTCGATTACCTATTCTGTTATTCCTCGTAGCAAACAGCAAATAATTTGCTGATTAACTCTTTTGAAATGGGATATAGTAAATATAAATACTTGATTTATTTTTCAATGGGTATGGCTGGCAATGTTGCTGATTATTCTGAAATTTTACCGATGAAACACTGATCAAAATGTTCAAGTGAATATTCCGGAAATTCTTCGTACGTTTTACTTGATTCGTATGAGACTGGTTCTATAGGTATAAAATTTGTTCATTTTAAATATTCAAAACGAATTTAAAATCATACTGATAGATGCTACACCCGTGGGGACGCAAATAGTGAAATTTGGTCTATTTATCAAAAAATCATCATACATTATCAAGAAAAACTATCAAGTTTCGTGCAGATCAAGATATATGCTCCAGAAACTATTTAAAAAATCGAAATCGATTATTTATTCCGAAGAAGGATTTAGAAGTTAATTGTGTAATGTGATACACTCAGTGAAGTGTGTTGGTAATGACTGCAACTGGAGAATGGTTAATGCTTCATTGACTGTTCTTGGGTTAATTGCAGTAAATTATGCTGGTAAGCAGGTAGATCATGCATGAAATTTGGGATCAAATAGATCGTAAAAAGTCGATTCACATAGCATCATCGGCCTACATGATTAAGAGGAGAATACTGTGCTGTTTATCCTTGTTTGAGCGAAGCTGGAAAATTGCCTTCGTATAATTAGATGATACCAATTGTAACGAGGCCCACACAGCTTATTTTACATATATTGATTCTTAGCGGTTATTAGCTCCTTCTCAATTGAAAGTATTATAAATATAATTTAATAAATATTGTGTGTAAATTGTGTTACAGTGAAAATCATATAGGCAGGCACGGCCAGAGCTGCCCGTACAACGGGGATGAACCCCATACGAACCGCTCGATCAGTGGCAGCAAGAGTCGGGACCGTGCAGACTCTCGTTCAGACTTGAAATGCCTAGCACCATATCGAACCCGGTGAAAATTTAGTAGCTATTTCAAACTATTGTCAGTCTTGAAAAAATCCGGTCAGATGACACGATTTTAGATCTTATGTGAACAAGTCACGAAAAGTTCATGAATCAGCGACAGACCACTCATAAGCGCCGACATCAATATGTTATGCGATGTTATTTTATGTTATCTGTCGGATTTGCGATTAAAAAGTAAAACAAAGCGCTTACATAGAGAAGCTGATTCACGTGCCCTTTGGTTCCTTGGAGTTACCCATTTCAGTCGTGACCCTTTCATAATTTTTGCTAGGGTAGTGAGCTTCTACTGCACTTATTGCTTTCCTCTTTGCGAAATTGACCCAAAACTTAGCGAGGCTGGGCGAGGCATTAGTATCTTATTTACGACAAGCTGTTGGTTAAGGTTGTTTAAGTTGGGTAAAATGAAAATTGACTGTTAATCAGCTCAAAAATGTATTACTAGTGGAAAATTCCTATGAAAAGTACTAGAAAATAATTATTTCGTGTTCTTGAGAGAACATTGCACAGTCGGGAAAAGCGTATGTTTTCGTAGCGTTTGCAGAGCACAAATTGCCTTGAAGATCATCATCCCATTAAGTAACTATTTAATTGTCTCAAGTTTGACAATGACAGACACAATTCGCATTGCATTATAAAAAATTCATAGCCACCCTTCACATATGATGGATTTTAAATATTTCCTTAAAAAACAAGGAGTTCATGCTGTGAGAATTAAGCTAAGTAGGGTAACGTGGGGCAGCGCGCCCCCCACTTTTTTTAGACTAAATTTTTGATGAAGTTTTAATTGATACGAGGTGGTTCTTTGTTTTGTTTAAAGGTGCAACTAATGAGGAATGTATGATGTGATCGTGTCAACATTTTATTTTAAAAGCTAATAGTCTAAACTTGGTCTCAAAATTATCCCTATAAATATTACTTTGAAAAAATAATTCAAAGTAATTTCAAAATCTTCATCTATAGTAATGGTAAAAAACTTTATTTAGCGGCAAAAAAATTTTTATCTGGACTAAAACAGTTATTCGCAAAGAACTTAATAACGCAAACACTTAGCAAAACGTAAATCCGTACACTTCATCCCAGTGAAACTGTCGACCGGCGGTAGAGAACACGGACCAATATCTGCCATACTTAGCGAGAAACCCGCTGTGGGCCCGTGACCCGCAGTGTGCTCGCTGCCCCATGTTACCCTATAATTACAGTGCGCTTTGTACTGATTTAATTTTACCACCATCGACTTTCGATGAGTCTGCGGCCAGAACAATAAACCTTTAAATTTTGAACATTGAACTGGTGGAATTGATTTTCTGGCATCTAAGTGCATTCAAATTACAATGTTTCAGGTCGAACTAGATTGAACTGGCATTTTTTGCCTAATAAAGTGCAAAATAAATATATTTAGCTTTATTTCTACCGAAATTGTCAGATTTATTACGTGAACGTTGCGTTCGTGGGCAGCACCCGTTTTCAATATCGTCAGGATGTTCTCAAAATGTGGCCTCACTCATAATTAAGGCGTCACAGGGCGTACAAACTCTGCTGCGTGCACTATGTGTTGGGAGCCACATGGATCAATCTATGGCGTTAACGACGTTATCCACAGAGTTCAAGATGTTCCTTATTCACAGAATCACTGCTTGCATGTTAATTCATCGTAAAAAGCGTTTCCTATTAAACTGAGAAACAAATCAACTTTGTGGAAGGCCAAAATTTCTAAACCACTCTTTTGAGTTTTTTGCTTACCGTTCCCTTAACGAATCTCCCTTTAGTTTACATTGACGGCTGTTGATGCGTTTATTCATGTTGTTATTATATTGTGACGTTAATGAAGAAGTGGTGGTATTTTTCTTTGTGGATAAATTGGATGGTGACTCGGTACCAATATGAATTTAATCTTTAAAATATTGTGAAAAATTGCCGCAAAACAAACAAAGTTTAATAAGGTAAATTATGTATCTGTCATTTTGCAACATACCCTATCCGTTTAAATGCACTCGATTTTGGTCATGCAAATGCATCGTACTTTGATATGCGGCAATTTCCAATCGCTATCGCGACGCCCTTTACACTTGTTGCGATAGCGATACTTCCGTAGCACGTGTCCTGACAGTGAAGTGGTAATGTGGACGAGGCTTACTTGTGAATGTCGTCAAGTATTAGTGCTTGTGTGAATTACGCCTATTTGGTTTTATTAAACATCCTTTCCACGGTTGGAGTTATCTGTAACAATAACCAAGGTCTTTGCAAAAAAACATTCTATAAATTACCCGTAAATTCTGTCAAAAAATTTGGAGCCATATGTGGCTTCTCGATTTTCATATGCATTAATCGCGTACTGAGTAACCTATTCTAAGGTCGCCTCCTCGCGCCCATGCTGCTACTGATCGAGTTAGGTGTGAGCTCATGACTTCATCACGAAGATTAATTATTGAGAGCCTTACACTCCATTCTATCCTAGTCCCTGCAAGCGAGGTGAGACCGTATTCCGAAATTAATGCATAGTCAGGAAGGTGAATGAGAGCAGTCTTCCAGAACTCACTTCTAAACGATGAAAACTTTAAATGATATTGAAAAATATTGAATTTGTTAGAGGACAGTACCAGAATTTTTTCACAGATCGTTTGAATTACAATATAAAAATAGATTTTGTAGAAAAATCATTTTCACGTATACATTATTGAAGCTATTGTGTATAGACGTTTTACGACAACATTATTATCTCAACACTTGTATCTAAATTAGTACTCGTTAAATTTGTCGTTGCTAGAGATCTCTAAGCGAATAAGATATTCTATGACATTTTTCTCATGATGGATTATCAAACAGATTTTTTATAAATTATAGGCAGTCTAAGTTACGTACAAATAATGAGATTTAAACTTTTTAAAATTGATGTTTTATTAGGAGGAACTTGTCCAACATCTGCTTTCTTGTCCAGCAGAGCCTCAGAACTGTTTAGAATTTTTTTCACCAGATGTCGCGCTAGCCATCTGACAACGCGCCAACGCATTAGAATTAGTATGCTAAATACAGAGCGTTAGAAACTGGAGTCCGTGATTAGTCACTCTCGTTCCAAGTAAGCATATATTGCCCAGCATTTATGCTTGGAACAACGTGACCAAGGTGTACGCGGAGCTAAATTTAATTCACTCGTGTTTGCGTTTGCAGCCAAGTGTCATTAGTGACTAATATCAGCAGATCTGACGTGCCGCACTTGAAAACAGTCAAGCGTGTCAGTGACGCAATTATCTTTACAATATATGGAGAGTGATAAGTGCTGTCTCGGCTGGGTGTAAAAACTGTTGTGCAAAGTTTTTATGGGAAACGCACAATAAATTGCCCTGAAAATATTGCATAAGTTGGGCACGAGCTGTTAATTCGTTACTTCTTTAAAAGGGATTTGAAATAAGAGGAATGATTTTATTAAAAATCCTTTAAGTAGTATTTTTTAAATTAATAAAAGATTGCCATATTGTTGAGAGTGTTTTCTAAGGGGAAAAAGATGAACTTTCTCCGACTCACACGTAGCGTAAGTGCGATAGAAGATTTCGTTTCAGTTTTTTCTTGAGAGTTACAATTCGTAGATCACCACTCAGCTTACCTGTTCTGATTTGGTGTTACAAAATTTACGAATGTTTCACTAACGCACTTCATAAAAAATGTATCTTAACAGCCCGGAGGACTTTTCTCACGGGATTAATTTGCATAGAATTCCTTGTATTTTTTTTAATCTTGGTCAAGGGTTGAGCGTCAAAATTCTTATGTTAATCGCATTTAGCTATGCTGAGAAACTTCTATTCTTCACCAAATTTGTTCAGGATTTTTTCCAGTTTGCGAGCAATTTACTGAAACTAACGTTTCATCGCAATGCAATAGGATAGATTTGCAGAGGCCCAGCTGCTAGTTTGGTAAAAAAAATTATTTTATGTTTCAGAAGCCAAGTTTTTCATTATGAATGGAACTGCATCAAATCGGGTCATGATTAAGAAATTGGAAGATGCAACAAACGAATGCGATCTATAATTTTTGCCGTCTCACTTGCCTAAATCTAATTCCATTCCTTAGTATTCTGTTTCGGACGTAGCTGTCCCAGGCAACGATGGATCGCCGCCTCTGGATCGCCCATCCTATAAAATACTTGAAGTTTTACATTACTTATCTATATTTTGAAGAAATCGTAGTTCTCGGCAGAAACGGCAGATTAATTTTAATGTTGATGAAGCAAGTCATTCGACAGTTTATATTTTTCCTTTCATCAAGTTCGAAAAGTTGTTGGTGCAGCACGCTTGCATTCAAACCTGTCCTCGCCAATAAAGTAAATGAAGTGTTATTTGATTATCATATGAAACTAAAGGGTCAGCAGTGTGGACTAGATATACAAGATTAAACACGATAGACAATATACATGACGACACGATAGACATGTACAAGATTAAACGCAAGATGTTACCGATATACGTTCACATGACAGAATAATCATCTATTGCTTACAGCGCCCACTTGTGTTCACAAACCCTGAAACGAGGCAGTCAAGAGCTTTAGCTTGACTATACTTAGTTGCCTTCAAATCTTTTCGTTATTCACTTTTTCAATGTCTCTAACTAAATGTTTTATTTATACAGAATTTCATAATAATTTTACGTTTTTATCTACTGGAACGGGATTAGCAATTGCGAACATCGTTTGAAATGCTAACGATTATCGTTGTGTTCTTTAATTTGACAATTACAGTTTTTACACTCGGAAAGTTTCTGCCTTTGAAATTTTTTACTAAGAAATTTTTTGGACTGTTAACAAAATGCCTTCGATTATTACTTCTATATGTCGTATTTACTTCTTGGCGTCAGCCTTCACCGAGTTTCCCACTCATTGTTGAGAATGAAAGGTTCGATGTGTTAAGAAGCAGTGGCATTTCGTCGAAGCATGCATCTGGCATTTACCTCTCATCGCCAGGTAATAGCGCTCTCGTTCACTGAATCCTACATTCGGCTGAAATTATATTTTCTATTCTCAAATTGTTGATATTCGTGCTACTGTAAATTTTCTAACAGTTCCTGTTCAATTCTCTGTTTTCAGAGAAGTGCGTCTCTGACTGTGACCAGAGCTTGCACTGCATGGTTGCTCTCACCACCGCAGACCTCAATCTTTACTACTCCTGTCTTCACTTCGAACATCCCCCAGCCTTCTTCGGTGCCGTGCCTTGCAACCACTCCTCGTCGCTCATCTACCTGAAGAAATCCATCGGTGCGTTAGTCTGTTGAAGCTAGTTCTATAATCCCGATCAGTGTTTCTTTAATATTATTTACAGTGATGTCTGATGTGTTTATATTTGGAAATATCTTTTCCTCTGTTATTCTGAACAATTTGGAACAGCTTTTGTTTCAGATGCATTTGACCACTCATGATTTCTCTACGACTATTTTCAGTTGATGAAGGAAGCTTTTGGGGGGAAGTATTTTACTTCTTAAGTCCTCATGAAATGACGTATGTTGAAGCTGTCGAGTTTTGTGATCGCAAGGACTTTTACCAACTGGCGCATCAGTGGCGGGATTCTAGCATCTGGACAGTCCTGGGCAGTCACATGGTGGGACTGGTCGCTTCTAGAGACGGTCAGTTCAGCTCTCAGTATGTGTTTTAATAAACCGAACATCCAGAACTTCGTGAGGTAAAATTATTTCTATCCTGTTCTATTAACCCAGCCTTAATTAACGAACATACACTTCTAAAAGTACTCGAAATTTATTTATTTATTTTTTCTTACAGTTTCTTATCCGGGAATATTCTTCAATTTTGTCGACGCTGACTACAAGAGTCAACAAATCAGACAATCATTTGAGCTGCACGCCGTGAACCTGGGAAATATTTCCGGTCGCCTACGGCTACAAATCGGCCTTGTTTACAAAGCGTTTAATTACGTCGTCCCAATTAAAAATTCATCGGCAAAGGCCTTTGCCTTGTGCCAGGGTGATTTTTTCAACATAATGGAAATGGCAAACCAAAAGTTTCCTGGACTATGTCTGTTTTAAAATTATTTTTTAGTCTTCGAGTATCTAGTTTGCGGCGACGACGAAGACTTCGTGATGTCCCCACAATAATTTTAAAGCTGGACAAGTCATGTTGATAAAAATAATATGAAGCAGCGGTGATGAAAACAGTAAGTAGTGAAATGTATTGAATAGTTGTAGCTGAAATTTCTGGTTGGTGTTCTTATGTTGGTTTTAAAAAAGGCGCCATGTGTGAGTATTTTAAAACGACCGCGTCGATTTGTTCATACGATTTGACTCACGAATTGACGACCGATTATTTTATATATCTGCTAAACGTTTTAGGTAATGATTATTTTTGTACCAATCAAGCTAGAATAATTTCTATATACATTTGACAATCCTTATTCTTTAATATCCTATAATATTTCTGATGGAGTCATTGCTGAGATCGTCCATCGGTTGTGTTTCCGCATTTTAACAGTGAAGACCGATAGTCGATCGCGTTATTTATTAAGATAATAGTAATAGCGGTTTCAGCGTTATTAGGCCGTAGGCCTGTCGCCGATTCTTAACATCGCAGAACATTCACAGCATTTTGCGGTCTCGAACTCGCAACTCACTGCTACAATTCTGCTATGCTTAACCGCCCGGCCTCCTTGCCGATTCTGACCAGAAAATGGCGCACAGAGCTGGGATCGAACCCGCGCCTCTCTGCACCAATCTTGGTACTCTGAACTTTAACCACTGGGCCTAGATAATTTCTAATAGATAGATAAGTTAGATAGATAGATAATAAATAAGTTCTAGATATAGTTGTCGTCTGTTTAATGTGCCATGACATGGAAGTCATTCCGTTCGGTTTTTATTCTACCTTCCCAGTAACGATTGATTTTTCACGTGATCCACACTTCTGAAGATTCTTCAATGAAATTCCCTTGTTGATTGTTCAGTTATGCTCAAATGTGCAGGTAAAACATTAAACGGGCATTATATGAATGTACCGGGACGTGATTGGAAACATTAGTGGGTTAAGTGTTATCGGAGAGCCAGTTTAGAAAATGGAGAGTGATACGAGAGGTGATCGAGGGACTCGAGGGCGAAGTATTTATTGCAGAAAGAAATACTATCGGCAAGCCAGGCAAATCATGTTTCGCTGGAAAGCTATTGGTTATAATCTATTGGTTATTAGTTTAAAAATCACCGTGGATTTTAAAGTCTGTTTGTTTACGATCGAACCATGAGTACGAATGATAATCGTCGATGAACAGGGTTTAATTTCGTAAATTCCGTCAAATCTATTCTTGGAACACAACAAGTCCAATACAGCTCAAATGTCAAATTCTGAGATTTGAGCATCGTGCTAAGTACAACTTTGAAAATGGCGATGTACTAATTTAATCCAGTTATTCGCCTAAATTTATATAGTGATCGCTGAATGCAATTATTTCGTGTTCCTGAAACATTTTCGCGGACGTCTGTCAATGCGTTGAAGGCCTTACATGGTTCATACGAAATTTTATGTGCGTGCGCCTGAGGAGCAGTTATAATAACACATTCGGGGGTCGAGCATTAAACAGTTTCAATTGATTGAGGTAGTTGTAGCCACCACCATTTTCCTGGTCATGGCTGGTAAAAGTTATTGATGCGTGGAGCACCAATTAATTGATGCATGATGCCGATGAAATTTTGGGCAGCACCGATGGCTTGTGATCCGATTCAAGCGTAGAGTATGTGCGTAGAGTAGTATCGAAAGTATCATGAAACTCAGCCATGATGAAAGCATCGTGGAAAAAAAACATGAAGACGGAGAGTATCGAAAGTGGGATGGATAACGAGGAGTGTTGTGGCACGAATGGCAATATGTGTTGTGCCGTGAATGACGATGTGTGTTGTATCACGAATGGCTGCGAGTGTTGTGTCTTGAATGACGATGAATGTTGTGTCTCAAACGGAGAGAGCTAGCGAATAGCTTAGAGTGTAATGATCGCCACCACTGTACGTTACATCTTGTTACGGTCCCACTTTTTGTAACCCTTCCATTAGGTAAGAGTGGAAAGAACAAGAGTTGGCGCAGGGTGGTCCGAAAGAAGAAAGGGAAATGGAAAGGACAGTAGGAGATTGAAAGGCGCATCGCGCATGATTGGGTGGGTTGTAGGTGAGTGAGGTCTGTTTGGGGTTGGTTGGAAGGGGGGGAACCCGTCAGGGCTTTGGATGGTTTAGGCAGGTGGGTGATGCAGAGGTGGTGGTTCTTTATTTACAGTATTTTACATGCGGCCTCGCATTTTTTTCTTAAGGGATGATATGATTACGACGGATATGATAACTATGGTGATGATGATGTTGAGGATGGTGAGTGGCTCGGGACTCGGAGGAAGGATTTTGTCAGGCATTACTTGACTTTCGGTAGTTCCTCTGTCTCATCTTTACATGTGTCACTCCGGGGAGTTGCGTCAGTCCGTACGCGTAGTAGTGTTTAGGTTGATGTGGGTTGTTATGGGACCAGCAACATCCAGATTTGATGGGAACAACTGCCGCCCGGGCGTGGCACGGTCCTCTGTTTAGTTAATTGTACAGGGGTGGTGGTGGTGGGGGAGCTAGCGCGTGTAATTTAGAGCTTTTGAATAGCCGGTGCTGCCTCGCTATGGCGTTTGGAGGAAATGTGAGTTGATACAGCAGTATGGGATCATATGTTTTGATGGTGGACCAAGTTTTGCGTGCTTTTTGGTGAAGGACCGTGTTTATTGTGGGAATGTCGCATTGTTCGTGTAGTGTTTGGGAGGATGTGAAGTCGGACCAGTGTGTCTTTCTAATGAATCGGAGGCTTTGTTTTTTTTTACCTGTCTGCAGTTTGGATGTGGACGATTTTAGTTGGGGGTGTAAAGCAATTGGGGGTTAATGAAGGATGATCTGACGAAGGAGAGGTATAAAGTGCGTTTTATGTTGGATGGGAGGTGATAAAATCTCTGTATTTTGTGTAGATTGGTGAGGATCATTGCCCTTATTTTATCCACTGTGAGCTGAAGTGTAGTGAAGTGTAAACCTAAAACTGTTCCTTTGTTCGCGTATGGATGGTGGGTGTTGTCTAAGAAGATGTCGGAAGTGTTGCGTCTAATGATGGGTATAATTTTAAATTTATTTGTGTTTGTCCTTATGAACCATTTCTTTTGAAGGTGTTATGTAATGGCCACAAACAATTTTGATACTAATAAGTCTCTTTGAATATCAATTAAAATTACATCATAATTTTACTTTTACCAAAGAATTTAGCATACAATTTAATTTATTTTGGCTGATTTCTATGCAAGTTTTCAAGAATATACAAAATGGCTGTTTGCATACATGCCACTAAATAAAATTAATAAATGGCCACGAATGCCCGACAGTTGGACAGGAAAGAATATAAATCTGGAGAACATTATTCATCCAGAAATAAAACTTGGCTCGTTCCATTATGGCACTTACTTACTGTGTGATTATCAGTCATTTGTCAAATCAAATGTCATTTGCCTGCCGACATGAGCAAATGTGTGCTGGATAAATTGATCACATTTATATACGACCAAACACCTGCACACATCTATTCATCATTTTATTCAGGCACCAAATAATATCATATAATCGCGGGCTAGTCCTGTATTTTCCAGGCTTCATGATTCTTACTATTTGAAGCCCCATTATTCCCGCAATTTCTGATACCGTTATTTGCAATAAATTTTACATATGTGTTATAATTAAGTAAAAACACCTTCAAACCCATATTTTACATAAGACATATAGGACCCCCATTTTACTCTCGCTTGAAATAGGGAAAAATTTTACCTCTTTTAAATTTAAGTTTTAGTTACCAATACAAAATCATACTTAAATTATTCATCCAAACGTATATTTGTGCCTGAGGCTACTCGCTGTCTTAAAACCCTTAAGTCAGCTACACTTAGTTGCACATAACTCAATATTTAACTCTCATTTGATAATCCGTTAGATGTGTCATTTACTCATTTCATTCTCCAGGAGATGAAGATGAATTTAATTCCATGACTAAAGCCATAGAACTGTAAAATAATTTAAATTCAAAATAATTTTACGCATTAAAATTTATTTTTTCATTCTTTAAAACGAAATTTTGAATGTTTTTAATTTTTCCGCGTTACATATCAATCCAATAGCGCCGCAACCAGGTTATTGGTGCAGTTCAGTTGCACAACTTATATCATGTGTTAGTTTCCCACATATTTGTTGAAAGAGTCACACCTCGGTATAAATAATTGTAATTATTGTTTTTTCTTTTTGCCTAAGAAAATATTATGAATATTGTGAAACGCATGAACAGTGTTGTATTTGCCATATATAGTTTTTATCAAAATCTGCAAAAGTTCTTTCTCGACTGCTTCGAAACGACTGTTAGCGCTAAATATTTGGTAACTTCTTGCCTGTGATGCAATAATAAACCTTGTTATTAATATTTTCGAGCATGTTGAACACGAAGTACGTGGGCATAGAGTATCTTGATGTAGAGAGAAAGCGTGAATTTGGGAGATCATGTTATTCGAGATCACGACTTTCTTAATTAGTGTTACTTCTCTTTTTGTTGTTTGCGCAGTCATTTTTTGTTGCAATTAATGAGCGAAAAAAATGTATGATAGCCGTACTGTTATAGGCCCGTATTTATGTCGGCCGAATTAAATGACATAAAATAATTGTAAACCTTATTTAACTTAATTAAATTTTCATGCGTAACGCTATAGCAATGAGATAGGACGAAGATTGTTGAACTGATTTCAACGGTGTCAGCACTTCAGCGAAAAAGTTCCAGTGAATCTTAATGACATCGCTGGAAAAATAAATTTTCTGACCGAACTCAACTTTTTAACCGTCCTCACGCTGTTTTGCAATATGCGAGGCACAAAACTTGCCGCTCTGATGTTTTTTTATCAGATTAAGGCTGCTAAAAACAGAAGAATAAAGATTGCGAGACGTCATCCCGTCGTACGCAGATGCACATCGAGCACAACTATATTTATAAACTTGGGACGCTCGCATATGCATAGGGAGAGTATCTTTGTAACTAAAAAATAAAAATTTTAAAATGGTTGACCAATATAACACGAAGATCTTTATTGTAGGGTAGCAGAACATAGGGGCAGGAGTTGTAGAACTGGTAAATTGCTGTCGCGCCCACCTCATTCGGCTGTGCGGGCTCACGCCGAACAGTGCATGATGTTCCAGTTTCTGACAGTGTTTTAGCTTCCAGTTCCGGTGTTTCTGATTTGCGAATTTTTTAATCTTTGTATATTTTTAAACGGAGGCCTAGTTTGAATTTAGCTTTTAGCTCTTACCCGCTTGAAATTGTAAATAGGTAGGTTTTGCAGCTTAGGTTTTTTGTTGTAATCTTGACCGTACTAATTACTGATT